CAGTTTTAATATTAGGGAGGGGGGGCGTTTAATATTAGGGGGAAACCATTAAGCCGTTGCGTGAGGTGGGTAGACAGTTAGATCACTGGTTGGTTGCCGGTTCAGGAAGCTACAACGGATGGATGACAATTTCGTCCGGACACCAAGAGTGCATGGCTGCAGCGCTCAATAATTATTGTGGCACGTTCAGTCACGTTCAGCATTTGTCATTGACAGTGTCAGGCAAATCCGTTTGTGAATGCCTCGTGCAGTCACTCAGGCCTTTGTCGAGCGCCTGCTGGACACGCTTCAGGCTGAGAGTCAAGGCGAGGAATCCTGCGTTCAAAAGTCGCATACAGATTCCAGGGCTGGGATCAGACGGAATTTCACATGACGCAGATTGCCGTGACGATGTACCTCAGCTCCTTTTCCCCTAGTGATCAGAAGTTTTAGATGTTTTTAAATTCGTCACTTCCTGTCTGCTGAAGTCTGACACGGTTACAACACGATGCAGACTGGCTTTCAGCGCCGACTTCAGCAGTTTTTCGACCACGCCCGGAAGCTTGAAATTGAATCCGCTGCGGATACTGCAAACGGAGGCTCCCCAGCTCCATGCGACTGTCATCCGGTCGTTCCGGAGGAAAAGCAGGCCTGCAGGGCGCTCGCTCTTGCATGCTGTTCTTGTCGACGCTCGAGCTTCAGGGGAGCCTTTCACTGCATCCCTGCGAGCCGAGCCTTGGCGTCTTGAGACTTCTCTTGGAGATGCTGACGTCAGCCCAAAACAGAGCCCCAGCCAAGGACGGAGCTCACGGCCGAAGCCAAAGAAGAAAGCTGGAATGAAATGCTCAGCCGATTTTGCGAGGAGCTGACACCTACCGTGCAAGCAAATCCCAAGCCGCTGCAAACTGGCAGGAGGGGGACGAGAATATTGTAGACTCGCTGCTGGATAGTTTCCTACAGCAGAAAGGCCTCCGATCACTCGTCTTGTAAGTGGAGCAGTGCTACCTTTGAGCCTGCGGGTTTCGATGCGTTTCCACGACAGCAAGCAGGCGACGTTGGCAGCATGATCGATTCTTGACCGATTATTGGCAAAGGCAAGATGGTCATGTCAGGGGAGCAAGCACCCGGAAGCGGGAGAGTTGTGCTGCACCAACTCATCTGGAGTGTTGCCAACTGGTCGCCAAGGAAGAGATCGACCGTCGCACGGCTCTCCAAAAGAAGAGCCCCGACAATTGGAACTTGTTTTTGGGCAGCAGCAAGACATGAGTCAGGCAACAAGCAGAATCAAAGAATACTGTCGATTGGGGATGAAAGAGTTACGCTGGTTCGTCGTGCAGCTCACAGGTTGTAGCCTATGACGAATCGGCGTTTCACAAGACGCGTTCACGAAGTCGCTGTCCGGACAGTCCACTGTTTCAATTTGTCCAGGTGCAACCAAGCCAACGTCTCTAGCCTCTCTGTGAAACCCACGGAGACAGACAAGGCGCCTGGATTTTGGCCAGAGCCTTCAGCAGCCGAACTTGGACAAGCTGGAGGACTGTACCTCATCATATCTCTTCCGGTCGGCCAGGTTTCAAGCTCGACCAGCAACATCTGCAGCCGCTTTCCCGCCACCTAGTGATACGGCTCGTTCTCTCATGTAACGTACAGATACCACCACAGTTGCCACCATGTCGTCTGCTGAACTGCAAAACTGACATGAGCTTCTCTTTTCCCACCATGCATGTTAACTAACCACCAGCAACATCCGCACCACCAGCACCAGCACCGTTACCACCGCCGCCACCACCACCACCATCATCATCATCATCCCAGTCGTTGCCATTATGGTTCTTCGCGAGCAGTTGTAGGATGTTGTAGGCTTTTCTGGCCTTCTGGGAGCAACTGGTTGAAAAGCGGGCGACGAAAGGGGCACTCAGCCTGCTTTCGGTGAAGCCGTCAGCATGCACAGGTTTCGCCTGCCGTTGGTGTCGACACAGCCAGTCCGGCTCCAAAATATTGTGATTCCCACTTCTTCCCTCAATACTATGTCTTGCGAAGACACATTGAAAGTGCACTTACGGCTAGGGCTGTAGGTGTTGCATCCCAGAGTATCCCAGATCGAACCGAAATATTCAATTCGTGGCGAGAAGCTGCAGCTTCATTAAGAAGGCGCGGAGATATGATTCGTAAGTCACCTGTGTCGGAAGCATATGCGGAAGTTGAGGAAGTGCTGCAGAGCGCCAGCGCGTTGCTCAGCGCACGAAGTTGCCGCAGCTGAAGCCTTGGAGTTCAGCGGTGTTGCATGTCACATGCACGTTCGAGATACAGCTGCAGCCTTGCCATGCAGTGCTCCCATGCCGCTATCGCACTGTTCTGGTTGATCGACGTGACTGCGGGGGCAGGCACAGAAGGCATAGCCTTAGTATGACTTCAGGGCAGTGAGTTGATTTGGCAAAGATGCAGGCTCTTGCGATCCTAATCTGAACGAATCGCACTGCTCGTGATGCGTGCAAGTGTGCGCATGCGCATGCACGCGCTTGGGCATGCATGCATGTATGCATGCATGCATGCATGTATGTGTGTATGTATGTATGTATGTATGTAATGTAAGTAATGTATGTAATGTGTGTAATGTGTGTACGTTGTATGTACGTGCACTGTATGTGTATAGGTATGCATGTGTGCATGTAGGTATGTATGTATGTACAAATGATGCATGTAAGCATCTGTGCGCGTGCAGGTATATGCGTCCGTGGGCGTGTGGGCATGTGAGAATCTGTGGTACGTGGGGGTGCAGCACTTGACTATGAATGCATCTCCCGAACAGGATTTGTTTCAGGGGCAGGAACCTGAGGAACATTGCAGAGCTCCGCCCAACGAAGCCCTCTGCAATGGTTCATAATATCGCAAATCACCCTGATGTGCCAGCAGTGATCACTTGTGATATCAGTGTAGATGGTACCTTGTGTATCGTCCATATGTATCATATGTCATATACGCATTTGATGTGAAACGTCTTGGATTGCAAGCCGGTAGGAAGTCAGATGACATTTGGAAATCATGGTTTGTCTACATGAACTTCAGTGCCCTTTTTTCCACCATCCCAGCAAAATACGACAGTCAGCAATGTCTCCCGGGGGAGATTCCGAAATGGCTTGGGACTGTGTGCAGAAGGATGTGGGGGTTTGCTGGGCATGGTCAGCGGTGTGCATCAAAACAACTTATATTCAATGTGATACTGCGCTTTATTGTGCCTGCTAACCATTTCCCGGCGGCCTGAATGGTGTGGTTGCGGAGACTCTCCGGATTCGGGGGTGCGTCCCGGGGCCGAGGCTGTAGAGGTAGACAGACTCTTTAAAGGGGTGGTGGCGCGTCCCGCAGCTGTAGAAAAATAATAGGACGTCAGCGAAAACTACGCACCGCGCGAGACGCGCGCCGCGCGCATCCTGTGTAAATAATGGCATGCAGAACCCGATTCGCAATTTGGCTGAGCGCGAAAACCCATAGTTCCAAAACTCTTTCGGGAGCTTTTTCTCTCGAAAACCTTGAATCGCACTCGTACTGGAAGGAGAGGGGGGAGCGTTCACAGTCTGATTTGGGGGAGAGCATTTAGCAGTGTCCTGGTGGTCTCCTTGTGGTGTCCTGGGGTCTGCTGGCGGTTTTCTATTCGTCTGCGAGTCTACTGGTCGTCGTCCTGTAGTCGTCATGATCGTCGTGGTGGTCGTTCTGTCCGTTCGTTGGCATAACTTGTTAAAGCCACAGGCTGTTCCTTCTACTACTCGGTGTCCACCTTGAAACCCAAGATGCTAAGATGTCGCACACTAGATGAATACTTTTGATGGCCGCGCTGAAGCCGAATTCCAGAGCTCACTGATGAACACAAGAATGACAAAATGTGTGTGTGTGTGTATATATATATGTATGTGTATATGTAGATATACTTATAAATACACGTGTGTGTACGTAATTGTCGATTGCGCTTTGTTTCCGGTTGAGCATTTCAGAAGAAGCCATGCATGGATGCAGCAGCGAGGTCATTGCTCAACTGGCTCAGCGCGTGCTTTTGCGGACTCCATGCCGACCACCGCGACTTGGGCTGCGAAACTTCCTCCACTTGTGGGAAAATGCATGTATTGCAGCGGGGATGCAGTGACTGAACCTCGTGCCAGAAGCAGTCTGGACACACGCACTATCCAGGGATGCAATCGGGGCCACAAGTTGGACAGTCGAAGTTTTGGGTACACGACTTGAAGTCGCTGCCCGCGCAAGCCGCAAGTCCGCCAGTCACAGGAGTAGCCCGTTTTGATGAGGTTTATTGTGTTTACTCGTGCGAGCCAGGCGGGGACCGTGGATTATGCAACAGGCACCCGGCTGTCGCTTGAACGGTCTTGCGGTCTTCGAGGGATTTCAGCAGCACAGGCACAGCCCCTGTCCACATGGATCATGCCTTGCCCTGCGAATCTTTGAGACTCGAGACTCTTCGGTGAGTGTTCGAGCTCGAAGCTTGGTGATTTTCATGAGGCACGGATCAGGTCAGTATTCTTTCCTGTCTGCATGTGCTGGTGCCCCATTCCAGCTCAAATGCTCGAGCGTGATCACGCAAGCAGGAAAGCATGGCCGGCTGTCTGACCTGGTCATCGAAGATGCCGAGTCGGACGTGCAGCACAGCCGGCACGTTTGACAGAAACTTCGTGTTTCGAATGCCACCACATGCAGAGCCGCCTGGAGGTTATCCTCAGAAGGAGGCATGCTTGGCGAACCCTGCAAGGCACGGGGCATTTTCTGAATTTCGGCAACCACCTCCCTGCAGCCGCAAAAGCCCGAAGCTCCTGGCAATCGCCACGAGGCCCAGGCCAGCCATGCGACTTTGAACCCGAAGGAGGAGCTCTTGGCCAAGATTGCTTGCGCCTTACAAGCCTGACGCAAAATTGAGAGGATCCGCGTGTCCGAGCCTTTGTGTGCGCAGTATCTTGCAGTTGTCAACGCGAAGCCACGAACAGCCGTGCAGCGGCAAGCGAACCGCTTCGTGCAATGAACTCAGGCATCGACCGACTCTCCAGAGGAGATTCGGAACTTCATGCGAAGCTTCCTGTTGAGCTACTCGTCAACAGGGACACACTTCGCCATTTTGTTTGGATCCAGTCGTGTTTGACATGGGGTTCTGCAGTGGGCGTGTCGCAAACTGGCCTTCGTAGCTCGGGTCAAGCAGTCAGCCTGAGGTGAACGAATCGGCCAATCCCTGCATGCATGTACTGGAGGGCCTGTCAACTGTGACACTTGTTCCTGCCAAAAAATATGTGCCTGAGGTCTAAGACACAGCGTCTTGACCGCAAGCAGCTGCGAATCGGAAGCTGCTGAGGGCTTCGCCGGGCCTGGAATGTCTTGGCAGCATGGCCAGCTCTGGTTTATAGACATTTCCATGCAGGGGTGCTCATGAGCGCCGTCGAGCGTGACGTCGCCTCCGAGGCCAGCCTCTACACTGCAGTCGCTTCTGGGATGGTACTCGTAGGGTGGAGGTTTGTTCTCGAGTCTTGTTCACTGCAAATGCCGGATCAAGCCACGGAACTTCATGGCATGACGGGAATCACTGCGAGTTCTAACCAGATTGCCTTACCGAGTGTATTCCTGTATTCCATGCCCAACTACATGCTCACCTAGCGCATCTGCACGGCAGGACGATGTGCAAAGCTTGAGCTCCGCAGGAAGCTTTGCTCAAGGGTCTTGTTTTGATGCATTTGATTGCAGATACTCGGAGGGCGCCGCAAGGGATTCTTGACTTGAGGGGGATGCAGGCACCGTTTGTACAATAGGCAGCCGCGAGAATCGGAACCACTTTCGGTATCGGTGGCTTGGCTCTTAAGGCCAGTCACGTGCCTGGGCCTTGGCCTTTTCGCAGTGCCTTGTTGTCCCAGGATGGACTTGCCACAGCATGAGCCGCACAGCTGCAATCAGCTAGCCAGACTCGACGAAGCTGCACACCGTTTGACGGTCCAGGCAGGAGCAGCTCGGAATTCTTCCACGAATGAGTGCTCCCCTTGCGACGCAATGACGAATGCATGCCCCACAGACAGATGAACCGCTTCTCCCTGTTCCAGTAGTAATGCAGCATGCAACGGCAGAAGCACGGGTGGTTCGTCGGCACAGTTAGCAGCTGTGTGAAGTGGGTTGAGTCTCAGAGGGTGGAGGCTACTCAGTCGTGGCGGCGGACGGCGTGGCCTTCGCAATATTTGCAGTTGGCTTTCGAGAGCCGTAGCCAGCGGAGTAGTAGTGCCCTGTCCGGCATGTAGTGACCTTTGTGGAATGACCGCGTGCATCGCAACCGCAACAGACCATGCTTACCTTCCTGAACTACATGGATAGTGCCTGGTGCGGGGCAGATTTGCAAGCACTCTTTTCAAATTTGGCAGACCGTGTCCTCTTTGCAGCTATTGGGGAACCGCAGAGGGACCGACATGAAGCAATGTCCGAAAGCAACTAGGTGTCTCCATATAGGATTTTCTCTTGTGGTGGTACATGTACAACGCCGTCTGCTGTTGATGCCCAAGTGCTGCAGGGCTGTGCATGCACATGGTGCCGAAGGCCATGTGCACGCCAAATGTACTTTCAATATTGATTATTAAGAACCCTGCCAGACTTTTTTTGTGCCAGAGTCCTCTGGGCGAGCTGATTCCAGGGCAGATCTGTGGGAAGCAATGCGCAAGTGCCGGGACCTCCGGCTGCTACACCCTCGGATTCTGTGCTTCTTTTAATTGCAGGCAAGAGTTCGGCATCGAAGTCTACCGCAAATGCGAGTGACATCTCACCTTACTTCCGCGTGCATCTCCAGAGAGCCCGGGTTTCGCGCCATTCCCAGCGCGTCTCCGTGGAATTCGAACTCTTTTTGGGATTGTGACAAATGTGGATTCTTGCCGCTTCTGTGCTTTGCAGACCAGCCACGTGGATGCATGGAAGGATGGAGGGATGGAGGCAAGTGGTCATGATCCGCTTAAACATTCGACAGACTGAGTCTTATCCTTTGTCTGAGCTGAGGCCGGGACTTTCCTGGAAGGCCAAAGCTCCGCCTCAGTGCTCAGCACACGCATGAAACTCATCAACGAGTTGGCTCCCAACTTCAGATAACTTCACGACACAAACCTTCAACAACAACAACGGCAGCAAGAACGACAACAACATGAATAACAAACAAAACAGTAATAAAACAAGCACAAGTTGAGTGTTGACCTGCCAGTGCATCCGTCAGACGTGACATGGCACACATCCATTTGACGATCGTCTCTGCAGAGCTTGACGGCTGCCAAGTTTGCAGACAGAGGCCACCGATGCCCAAAGTGCCAACATTTTTGGCGAAGGACCCAGAACGCGCGAAAGCTTGGTGAAGCGAGTGACCTGGAAGACGTACTCGAAGAACAGCCTTGATTAGACAGATGGAGTTGGCCGCCTCATGGAGCGGCGTTATCAGGTTCTGTTCTGCAACGAAGTCTTTTATACACAGTGACTGAAGGAGGGGGAAGAGGCGCCAGCGCACAGCGCTTCGCTGGGGCCTGCAGCAGCCAAGAGCCTTAGCTCAATACGGTGCTGTAGTCTTACACTCTTTTACTGGCAAAACGGCCTCATACGAAGCAGAAACGACTCTGCAAGGGGCAAAAAAAAGGTAACGGACGGGATCGTTGCTGTCTCTGAGGATCCCTGCTGTGCCAGAGCCGGCCGAGCCGGCGCCTGCGGAGCCAAAGGCACCCGCGGTCGCCACGCGGGAGCCCAAGGGCCGAGCCGGGGGAGAGCGAGACGACTTCCTTTGCCCTTTGGGGGGAAAGGAGGTGCCGAGCCGGAGAAGTTAAGTTCATGTAGCAGTTCAGATGGAGCCCGTAGCCGTACGGTAGCTGATGTGGCTGACAAACCTTATGACGTGCAGGATGTGCCGGGTGTGAAGTCGTCAAGTGCTTCAACGCGCCATTTGCATCGGCAGTCATCAGTCGTGTGCATTTTTGCCGCCACAGGGTCACTGTGAGTTTCGAAGCTCAGGTCTTACTGGACCGAGGTCCGCACGGACGAAGGCACACTGAGCTTTGACAGCGTGGGCAAGAGCTGCCGAAGTCGCGGGCCGCCATCAACCGTCTGAGTGGACGAAGCTCCATGCCGCTAGGCGATGTGTACTACCACAACGAGGATACAGACGAGACTGCCTGGGAGCTGCCTCCCGGGGGCGTGGCGGCAGCCCCGGTTCCGCTACATTTTGCATTCGCCACCCTTGCTCTGGTTTGCAGGTTCGGAAGCCTGGGGAGGAGGCTCCAGAGCCGGCGCAGACCGTGCCTTTGCAGACTGTGCCCTCACAGCCGGTCGAACCAGAGCCGCAGGCAGGATCTAGCCAATCTAGCCTTCTGCAGAGTCGTTTTGCCAAGATCTGCTACTTGTCGATAGCAGCGCACAGCGGTTGCACGCCACATTTCTTCAAGATGCAGGGGTGTGAAGTGCTACGATACATGGAAGCAGGTTCCCAGGTCTTCAGTCTAGAGTTCGGAGCGCTTAATACTTCTAAACGCAAGCACACACCTCGCCGCAGACATTTGGTACCGAGCCTTGGCATGCAAAGCAAACATGGTTGGCCTCATGGTGAGCAACCTCCAGGGTGTCCTTTGTCCCGTTGCCGACCGCAGTGTGAGGCATGACGTAGCTGTCGCACATGGAGTTACAAAGAAGCCATCTGATCAGGTATTACTGTGCCGCCCAGCGACAGTTTAGCAAAGGCATCTAGCAGAACAGCAGGGGCAGGAGTGTGCTTAAAGCAGATTGTCGCGGTTCATTGACGCCATGGCTCAAGCAATGGAGCAGGAGGATCGGCAGAGTAATGATCTCCCTATAACCCCAAAGCATGTTCTTCAATTGCCGGCTGCTCTCGATTCTTCCCCTGCAGCCAAACTCGTTGAAGACAGCCCAGAATCAGGAGCGACCGCAGAGCTTGAAGTTTGATGTGTCGGAAGAGGAATCGGGGCCCAAAGGTGAAGAGCGACCCGGCATGAAAGCAGGTTGAAGTGTAGGCAGCCGGAAGCACGTGGGTGGGCGAAACATGGGAGTTCGGGACCTGCATTCTGGGAGTGTTGTTCGGAGTGCTTTGCCTTGGGTGTGTTGCGTGATGCTTTGGAGATAACATGTGCCCGAGGTTTGCCTTCCGCAGAGAGGTGGTGAAGCTGCGCTCCTTCATTGACAGCCGGTTTGCGAAGCAAGCCCGGATGTTAGAGCTCATGTCTACCCAGTTGAAGCTACCTGGCTGAAGTTATGATGTCTGGCGCGCAAGGGATTGATGCCTCCCAGACCTCAGCGCTGCTAGAAATTCGATCCGCGACCTGCCCCGTTCGTGACGCTCGACACCCAGGCTAATGCAGGCATTCCCCGACGGCAAAACAGTGGCCAAAGTGGATGATTCCGCGGAGGCCCGGCCCAAGCCCTTTTAGGGGGCGCTTTTTTGGGTGATTTTGACAACGCGAGCCTTCAGTCAGAGCCAGGCCGGTCAAGAGCCCGAGCAGGCGCCCAGGGAAGCGGCCAGGGAAGAGCCAGAACCGCTCTCCCCCCGTGCCTTGGACTTGCTCCTGGCTTTGAGTGAGAAACAACAGCAGACTAAATCGTTCGCCGTAGGTTCAGTTTAAAGGATTTTCCATCCGCATAGGCCAGAACGAAAGCAGCGGGGTGAACTGCATGAACTGCAAAATGTCGCAAGTCGGAGCGAGCACCTGCTTGAGTGCCAAAGGAGATTCATAGATCGCCGCGATTTGTTTCACGATCTGTCAAAGACTAACTAACTGTTGAAGCAGTCCTGCACGTTCCTCTGCTGCTCCATTTTCCCAGGTCCGGCACTTGCTCTCCTCAGGTGTGGAGCTGTGGGCACGCATGGATGAAATTTGTCAATTTCCGTGATCTCGCAAGTTGGCTGGGTGTCGTATGTCTTGACGTACTTGTGGCAGTACTTCTTTTCAACACCGAAGGAAACCTAGTCATGCAGCGTTTGGCAGCAACATCGTTACGATGATGGCTATCCGCCCCGCACTGCAGCAGGGCGGGGCAACAAGAGGATTGATTGTGGCAGGTTCCTGGACGTGTCCAAGGTAAGGTTGAAGTGCCGTATGATAGAGATTCACTTGTCCTCAAGGGTTTTCCGCTTGGCCGGTCGCCCTTTCACCTTCAAGTCTGCACTCTTTTGGCGGCAATCCGCCGGGCAACGCGCAGGTCACAGTCTGAGTTGACGGTGCTGAGCTCAAAGCCTTCTGAGGACGAGCAGCCAGCCAGGCCAATCAATCTTGGTTTGTATGCGTTGAAAGCCTTTCATCGGTGAGTTCACTGTGGTACAGCTTGGAAACATGCAGAATTCCCAGAGTTAGGCTAAGGGTACAAGCGCAGCAGTGCTTGCAGTAATTGCACGGGTAATCGTAGCCTTTTGCAGGCGTCATCGACCCCAGCATCAGGAATACAGTAAATGCGGTGTGCTGAGACCAGGAAAAGCATCAGTCGCGGGAGTTCGAAGCAGCCCCAGTCTCAGACCAAAGCCCGGCAGGTACTTACTCCTGTCTGATCTTGCATGCCCATCATGAACTGCCCCGTGCGTTGTTAGGTATGTTAGGTCTGCGTATGCGTTTAAGCTGTTTAACCGCTTGGCGGGGCGTGTGACTGCGGAACATGTTAAAAGGTGGCCTCAGGGTGGTGTCGAATATAGGCATGCACACTGCATGACACCGACTCCACAACAATGGCCGCTCACTTCAGCTTCAGAAGAATAAGAGTCAAAACAGAGGTTCCAAAAGCCGCGAGAGACTAAATGCCCCAGCCCCCACCGCTCCCGCCCCCGCCCCCACACTGGACGACGTCGTGTTCATGATCACCACCAACAACACCACCATCGGGGGGGGGGGGTGGAGGTGCTGGTTGTGGTTGTTGTTGTTGTTGGTGGTGGTGGTGGCGGTGGTGTTGGTGTTGGTTGTTCTTCTTCTTCTTCTAGTTGTTGTTCTTGTTGGTGGTGGTGCTGGTGCTGGTGCTGGTGCTGGTGCTGGTGCTGGTGCTGGTGCTGGTGCTGGTGCTGGCGCTGGCGCTGGCGCTGGCGCTGGCGCTGGTGCTGGTGCTGCTGCTGCTGCTGCTGCTGCTGCTGCTGGCGTTTTTGTTATCGGTGTTTTTGTCGTTGTGGTTGTCGTTGTTATTTTGTTGATGTTGGTGCTGGTGAAGGGGCTGGGGCTGTTGCCGGTCTGTTGCCGTTGCTGTTGCTGGTGGTTGTTGTTCTGGTTGTTCAAGGTTGGTGGAGATGGTGCTGGTGCTGCTGGTGGTGTTGGTGCTGCTAGTGCCAACAGAAAAGAGAAAGTGGGAATGCATCTGGCCTTTGTGCAATAATTTTACAGAACAACTTCGACAATGTTGATCGCAGCCTCTTGGATGAACCATGTGCTTCTTTTCGAGACGTCTCAGGTCCTTCGTTCGCACCTCCTTGAGGGAGCAGCAGAAGAAGGCCGAGGCGGAGCCCGCGTCGTTGCAGATGCTCTAAGAAGCATTACAATATCACTACATGCAACGGCTGCACGACCAATTATGGCATCATGCGGATGATTCCTGCAAGGAGGCGGTCCAGCAATCTGCCAGCACCTTCACGAGCTGCTCGGCCGTCAGCAACCAAATGGAAGGATGTGTGATGATGGTGTTAAATGATGTGGAGAGAAGCATGTACAGTAGTTCAGATCCACATCTGTAAGCTTTACTTGCCAGCCCTCACACCCTCCAACAATCCCCCAGCCCTCCTCACTTCGATCCTAATGCTCTAGTTCCTCCAGCCCCCAGCCTTACCCCCCGAGCCCCGAGCAGTCCTACAACCTCTCAAAGGCCCTCGACCCATTCAGCCTCCATGCCTTGAGGGCTGTAGAGCTGCGGGAGGGGGAGTAGGGGCGGTGCGCAAGCACTGCCTGTGTGAAATGTTGTGCATTTCCGAGCAGATCCCTGGTTGCACCACCGAATTTTGCACAGAGGGGTAGCGGGAAAGGTGTGTTCAACATCTACTCACAGATCCGGGCATTGAAACAGGCCCTGGGTGTGCCGTGGTACCACCCAGCTGGCAATAGCAGGACTCCTGTAGGTTCGAGGTAGCAAAGTCGACACGTAGTGCAGGCAGCAACATCTTTATCCTCGTGCAGAGTGAGTATACGGTATTGGCTGAGGCAAGTGTCGGACAGAGTTGCGTGGGCATGACATTTTCAGGGACAGAGATGCCATGTCCTCACCGGCTTGCGGCGAACATTCTTATGCATGCCGAATCACACGCATCGATCGAGTTTTGATGCCATGGCCATGAAGAGCAAACGAAACATACACGAGCTCAACAGCGTGCATATGCACATAGTTGTGCTTGTCATAACTCTGCGGCAGAAGCGCTTCTTGTCTGAGGCAACTTGAGAAGGATGAACACGATTGAGGCTGAAGCCCGGCTCGCACCTGTTGCACTGCATCAAGACTTAAAGCACTTGGGAGCGCTTGCTTAGTATTTACTATCTGTTCGATGCTTCGGCTACGGATCAGGTTAAGGTACACCAGGATTAACCAATCCACTGTGCGTTTTGAAGCGCCCCCAGCTGTCATGGAAGAACGTTACTATGCTCTGTCCCAGGACATGTTTGGCAGTGGACCTTGCCGGATCGCCTGTCTTCGCATCGTGACCCACACCATGTTCACGAACTGCAGCTGGGATATGCAGGTTATGCAGGAATCCACGGTCGGCGCAACCATGAGGGGGACTAAACTCCGAAGCTCGAAGGCCCCAGCCGTTCCGCTCCCCCCCAGATCACACGCACAACCATTGGAAGAAGGCCTGGCCACCCAACCATTCCACACGCAAGCTCAAGGCCCAAGCTGTTCCACAGGGCCGGGGCGCAACCACATACTGTAGACTGTATACATGCATATACATACATACATACATACATACATACATACATATATATATATATATAAAAATGTGTGTTACCCCCCTCCCCGCACCCCAACTCTGTTGGCCCACGACACACCACAACTGCAGGCAAGATATCTTAGATTTGGCACATATTAAGCATTAGTAGCATGTACATTGTACATTAGTTTTAGTATTAATGAGTACCAATATTGATATTCAGATTAATATTCTTACAAATAAAAACATTCACATTTATATTAACATTAGGCTTAATGCCAGTATTGAAAATAACGCTACTCTTACGAATTAACACCCGTAGTAACACTGATGCTAATATGAATACTAATGTTCCTACGAACACTAAAAATCACACTTATATTGTTCGTAATATGACTACCAATACCAAAATACATACTAGTGCAGGAGACTTGCGGCCGTGGAAACTGGGGCAATGAGTTCAGTGTGCCAGAGGCATTGGAAACGCAGGCAACGGGAACTGAAGCAACTGCCTACTTAGCAGGTGTTGTCGTGACTGCGGCTCGCGCGGACCCCTGCCTACTGAAGGGGCGCCACCTTCCCAGGGAATCAATCCGGGGGATGCATGCTGGAAACCAATCACCATAGACGAGCGGGATTATGTCACCGGAGAGGGCCGAATCGAGGAAAGGCAACTTCAACGTCCACATCCAGCCAAATACCACTTGAGAGTCTTCCTGACGTTCTCTTCTAGGGGGGCAAACATGTCGTCAAGATCCCAGCAGAGCAGCGAAGCAAAGGCTTCACGAGTCACGATAGCAGGTACCACCGAGGGGGCAAACGGCTGAGGTAAGGGCATACGTTGAGAGACCGGCAGAGTGCAAAGTTGACTATAGATATTGTACTAGCTCCTCATGTGGTGTTGTCGTTCAGCTGGATCCTGATAACATTTGGCACTTCGGTTGCCGTTCTTTCGACTCTTAACAAGGCAGAGTGCTGACGCGCAGGGGGAGGGCAACCTCTTGCTCCCCCATGAAGTGGGGAGGCCCGGTAGTAGGGGGGCACACATGCTCCCTCATTGCGGAACTGGGGAAGATCACGCAGTCCAAGGGTTACATCGTGAACACGTTGGAGGGCGACGGGGGCAAGACGCCGTTCTTCCACACCCCACGGCCCTACCGCGCGGAGACGTCGACACCAAAGAAGTACGTTGGGAGGCTGAAGACCGTGAGAGAGGGTTCGTGAAAATGGCAGGAAGGCCGCGCATGCCGACCACCTTGGATGGACCAGGGGTGTGATACGAAGGACACTGAGGTGAACAAACGCTTAGCAGGGCTGAGAACTTCAAACTTCGTAGGGAGAAGCACAACTGAGTGGGCAATACTACCGCATGAGCTGAGTTGTTACCCATGGGCCGAAAGGCCTCCCCAAGATAGACGACCGTAGCCTTCCGCCCTAACCGTGGCACCAATCCCCGATTCTTTTCAAAACGCTCCGACGACGGGTTACCAGGAAATGCTGGTGAATTCAGGGGGAAAGAGGTTGTAATTAGACCAGGTCCTTCCGCGAAGTCCTTTACTTTAGCCCTCTTTGTCTACAGTCGCGCGAGGGCTTGCATGTTTTTCCTCGAACCCCCACCCAACTTGAGTTCCACAACTTATGACCTGGTCCCCGCCTTAGTCTTCTTCGTGCTTTTACTGATACGTTTGCTGTTGTCCGTAGCTCAAGGGGGGACCACGGTGCTGCAAAGAGTTGTAGACTTTACAGCAAGCCTGCAGCACAGAGCCGGCGACCTTCGTGGATGATGAGGCCTGGGGGATCTGCTAGTGTTCGGGGGTTTTAAGGGGGACAACAGTTCTCTCCCTCGGGCCTCATCGAGTAGCGTACGTTCAGACTCGAGACAAGCAGGGCGCGCTCGTGCGCGGAGGGGAGTGCGTCCGTGCTCCTCTTCTGACTGAGTGGAAGAAGATAGATAGATTTAGAGATATATATATAAATATATATATATATATATATTTTTTTTTTGTTATATATTATATCTGTTAAAGGGAGCCGCGAGTGCAGCCTGCAGTGCCTTAGGCGCGTCACGGTCTTAGGATTACAGGTGCCTTTTGGGGGACGTGAGCACATCGAAGTCGCACTCAGGGGAAGGCAGTCTCCAACGTTCGAAAACAGGCCCGAACCGCGAGTCTGCTGCACGCCACGGGAGTAGGCCCTCGGGCCAGGGGGCTTCTTGTCCCCAGACCCCTAGCAAGCAAGGAAGGAAGCAAGCAAGCAAGCAAACCCACTTACAGTTCTTGTGATGGTGCTAGCTGCCAGAGTATGGGCTGCTTGTAGATGTGCCGAAAGGCTTTGTGCACCATGGGCAGTAATCTGCTGATCCAAAGCCTTGCCGTCATTCTGCATTGGGCGCCAAGGCGTCATGGGCTTGATCCTGGTGAACTTGATCCTGCCCCTCTTCTTCTGCAGCCTTGCATGCGGACCCATGCTACACTCAAGATGCCACTGCGTCTACATGTCATGTGGTTTTCTTTTGCCTCTGCAGAATCAGGCTGGGCGTCGAGGTCGACGTGGCCACCAGACTCGGACAAGATGCGGCCAGACTATATTGTTGATTCATGCTGTCTCACGTGCCGTTGGCTGACCGCCTTCTTGGAAGCCTGAAGACACAGACAGAGGCGAGCCGCAGGTTTCGAGCCTGAAAGAGCATTGTGCGACCACACAGTCCTCGGAACCTCTTCTGGATTTTGGACTGTGGAGCTGAGCTGACGGACCTAAGGACATCCCCAGTGTATATGGCATCCTCAACACACTCATCGTGTGCGTGTTCCTGGTTGCTGCCCGGCCCTGGCTAGAAGGTTGGCCTGTTCTTGTTTTGAGCGCTCATACGAGACTATCCGACTAACCAGAGCTTCAAACTGTTAAAGCAGAATTCGGAGTAAAGCCAACTGCTGCCAAGGAGTTTTTTCTGAAGTTCTTCGCGTTTGGCTGTTCGGGCTTCTTCTGCGGCCGCGATGCATTCTGGATGCTCGGACAGCATGTTCAAGCTTACCGGAGCGGATGACAGGGTGATTAGGGAATTCCGGAAATCCTGATACGAGTCAGTCCACCTAAATCCAGCAAGCCTTCGTCCATGGTCAGACCTAGCCGTGTGATGCCGTATGGCGCAGCACCGAGTCACCATTGGCTGTGTGGCACATACAAGTCGGGCCACGGCTACCCGCCACAAAAGCCAACAGCTGACAGACTTAAAATCTAAGGGGCGGAACCAGCAACTCACAAAATAGAGCCAGAAAGTAAGGCAACAGGCCAGCATGCGTGGACCCGTACTAGCCCAAGCCAAGCATTGAAGCTTGATACCTGGCCGGCCCTTGGCAGGAACAACCTGGACTTCGTCGTGATCTTCTCGTCAGTGCTCGAGACGGCCGTGGATATTTGGGACCGTGATTGATTGTCCTTGGGTGTACCTGAGAATAGCATGCCCCGGCATGAGCTTCGACAATCGCACCGGCAAACACTCGAGCTAGAGGTAGTTACGAGCTAGCATCACGGGAGTCTGGCTCCGGAGGATCTGGTTGCAACGCAAGCTGGCTCCACGTCGGGCCACTTTCGACACAGCGCCGCAAAAAGGTTCTGCATGGAGGCGTAGCCTGGAGGTGGAAACGAAGAAGAGCAGGCCCTTGCGAGAGAATGAGGGCATTCACAGTTTGCCATTGGTGCCCAAGGAATTATGCGAACTATGCGGCTCGTCCGCGCCTTGCGTGGCATTCGTGTGATTCGGCTGCTGAGGCCACCAAGCAGCAAGAGCCAGGGCTGGACAATGCCGTCCATAGGCTGCGCGCAGGCTGAACAGCAGGCCCCATCAGATTCCCAACTGATTCACAACGAATTTTGCATGTCTGTTGTGGAGTCTTGGAGGCTCCAGGCTTGAAAACTAGTAGACACACAAGTGACACAAGTGGGCAGCGTCGTGGACGGCTGCAAAGATGGGCACAATCTGATTTTCCACGCGTTGCTCGCTCAGGTATGTGAGTGCATTGCGAACCCTGGTGTTCTCCATCGTAAGCACCATGAGCTCACTGTTGTGGACTCTGGTATTGCTGCTGCTGCTGTTCTACAGCTCCGTGGCCTGGAGTGGTTGTAGCGGACCCATTCTGTTCCCGACTTGGACGCAGCACATGAGCGATTGCAGACTGTTGTTTCCAGCGATTATTGTGATTATGGGACTACTCCTTAATCCAAGAAAGTCTCAGACCGCTGAAAGATGGCCTGCCTCTCAACAGTCGGGCTGCAGGCTTCGGGGTCATTTTTACCCAGCTCGTGTCGGACTACTGCCGCGAGCTAACGATGTCAAAGACCGGGGACGTGAATGCAGTGCCGGAGTGCCCATCCAACCTGGGCACGTACCGGGGCAGGCAATCCAGAGGTTCGCAACCCTGTGAGTGTTGCATGACTGAGCCTGTCTTACACTGTCCAAGCCTGCACATAGAATCGAAGCCACTTTTGTTCCACGTCACACTTAAATACGGGATGGCCTTTTTCTTGAATTTTGCTGAAGTGGTTCTCGCGGTATTTGCGTTGTTAAGCGAAGAGGGGTTGAACTTTGATGTACCTCAATTCAGCAAGTGATGAGAAAATCGTTTGTCAAACAAGCCTTTGCAGACAGTCGGATGACTCACCGATCGGAAGTTCTCTGGGCACTGGCCTTCTTGAGGTATTGGAAGTCCGTCGACGAGAGCATGCTGACCTTGTTTCTGGCAATCTCTGGTGGCATGAGTTGCTGGTCCCAAATCGAACCGAGGTAAAGAAAACAATGTTTGTTTGCTGCCCGACAGTGCGACGTTGCTCACTAGTGACCTACATCGTAGGAACCCGCACCCTTAGGGTAGCTTCATGGGAGCTATTTGCTGTTCGCTCGCAGCAGATTGGACGGAAGCTCTGGAGCCGCTACGAGTGGTGCAGGGGATTGCCCCATATCTCCTCATCCTGCAACTTGGCTTGAGACTTCGCAGGTAAAGGGACAGATTACCTGATACGTTGATGCATACACGTGATGCGTATCCCTCGAAGGCAAGGGTCAGATTCCTGCCAGACAGAGCTCTGAACCTTCCCTGTAGCCGCGGGAAAGTTGCGCCACCAACAGCAAAGCATGCAACCAGCACACTGCCTGAGGACGTAGATTGGAACGTTCAATGAAATTCACGTGCGAATAGATGAATAGACTTCGACTCTTGAGACGTTGACAACATTGTAACATAGTCGGCTTTCACGCGCAACCTTCGATGGTGGTCAGGTCTGCTGTCTTCAGTTTCGCACTCAAAAACAAAGACTCCAGCAACAGCTCCGAAGACGACCCGAGTCCTGAGATGTCCTGAGCATCTGAGTTTGATACTTTCGGAAACTGTGCATTGTTTCCGCGATCTATGAAAAAGGGAGATTGTCGGTTGTCACAGCGATGCCGGCAGTTTGGTGCGTGTTGTGAGTTTTTACACCTTCAAGCTGCCTCGTTCACTCGTTCCAAGGTACATCATTGTTTCCGTCTTTGCCGTGCTCAATGCCATGTACTCAGAGTGTTGAGCTGCAAGTGTGTGAGCTGAGTGGAAGATAGGCAGAGCTTCTGCACTCATGTCAGATGGTTGCCCCTCCTTTTGAACGAGGGTTTATGAGGTGTCCTGTCCATTTGGGGGCTGCTGGCACCGGAACAAAGTTAGTTAGTCCCCGCCTTCCTGCCGTACCTGTACTCCTTCGAGTATGCGTCCGGCGTTTCTAAAAGATGAATTGCTGAGGTCGTAACTGGCGTTTTCTGCAATACAGCTATTGAGTCGGCGCAGAGTGACAAAGACATTGCGATCATGAAGCAGATGCGAGCCCTGTCCGCAATTGAGCAGCACGGCATACTGAAGCGCTTAACCGAAGAAAGCCAGTAGGCAGTGACCATCAACAACGAAGCAGTCTCAACACAAGCCCGCCTGACATTTCATGATTCGCCGGGATGTTTTTGCACTTTGTTTCCTCAGAAAGCAACACAAACGATCTGCAGCATCATCCCGCAGTCATCCCTTGCAAGCCGAGGCAAACATGACCTTCAGGTGCAGGCACTACGGCACATTTTCAAGGAGATCGATCACGACAAGCAACTTATATTGCAGCGGTATCGGACTTGTTTTGGACAAATGGCTATAGTTATAGTTATCGGTCATGAAATGCCTGACCCTAACTTGTTTGCTTGTTTTGAGCTTGCGCATGTTATCCGAGTTGGTTGTGATTAAGTGGGCTGTGTCGGAAGCGGATGGAAGCGGTCGAGTCAGGAACGCTGGGTTCGGGCTTGGGGCCTTTAGGGTTTTGTGCCTTTAGGGTTGAGGCTTGCCCGGTGTTTCTCCGTGCAGCCTCCGCTTACTCCCCACACGGCCCCGGCTGTTTCTGACTTGCCCGCCAGCCGTTTTCGACACAGGTCCTTGCGAGTGGTCGCTTTATCTCGCATCGCTGGGTGGAAATACGCATCGATGAGCGTCCACACTCGGGAACCCGCTTTCTAACAATCACTTCTATTTGTGAGCGATCGGATGGTTCCGCGTGGAATCGAGCGTCTAGTTGGGGAAAGCTGGTTTTGATGTGCTGTCATGCCACTGACGTGCGTCTCGAGAGGGCGCTTGTGGAATCGAGCGTCTAGATGGGGAATGGCTGCTTTTGATGTGGTGTGGTCTGCCACTGATGTTCGTCTCGAGTGGGTACTTGTGGAATCGAGC